AATAATTTCATCCAAACTACTGAACAGATTCGAACGAAATTTTTAATTTGCAGTCGTAACTACCTAACGGTAAAGTTCAGCTCGTGAAAATTTTTTCGATTGTGCCTTCGTTCGCGAGATTTTTTTTTCTTTTCACCTTCATTCGTGGTTCAAACAGCAATACGTGCTTAAATTCGCATTAATCAAGAAATTCTTTTGAAACAGATTTGAACGAAACTTAGTATTTAAATACCTAACCTCAGCAACGGTGATGTTTACAATTTATTCGTTTTGCCTTCGTTTGCGAGTTATACGGCTGTACGTACAAGGCTCGATCTTGGTTAAACCGGCCGGTATAAAAGCCGGTCGTTCCTCCTATATCTGTATAACTCGCGAACGAAAGCAAAATAGAAAAATTGTCACGAGCTAGACATCACCGTTGAGAGGTTAGGTATTTATATACAAAGTTTAGTTGAAATCTATTCTGTAGTTTAGAAGAAATTTCTTGATCGCCGCGAATTTAAGCGACATATTACCCGGCGATACGGGCCGAATATAAGGAAGTGTGAAATCAAGAATGACGGTAAATGAAAAAAAAACTAGCAAACGAAGTCAAAATAAAAAATTATAAGCTAAAAAATCACCGTTTGGTAGTTAGGAATGCATATTAAAAATTTCGCTCAAATCTGTTCAATAGTTTGGAAGAAATTTTTTGATCACTGCGAATTTCGGCCTGTTTCGCAATATACGCGTAACTCACGAATGGTGGAACTTTAAAAAAAAAATTAGGAGCTAAACATCACCGTTAGGTTATGATGAATACGTGTTCCAATTTTCATAGAGCTGCGTTCATTAGTTTGGGAGATATTACTTGATAATTGAATTTGGAGATTGGTTGTGCGACTGGCTACGAGTCAGGCCGTAAATTCGCCCGTGACGTCCTAGGGTTCTAGTGCTGAAACAGTTAAAACAGCTGAAAAACCTATTGCTTCACTAAATGGGGTTCTTTTTGTGAAATACACATTTGTGTTTAACCTTTATCTTTTAAAATTGCAGAGTACTAAATTTCAAGAAAGAGGCGTAAGTTTTTATATATATACTTTGGGGGGCGCTAGAAGTTTACTAGGGAGCCAAAGGGGGCGCCAGCCTGAAAAAGTTTGGGAACCACTGAATTAGGCGCTCTACTAGAGAGTGACTCCAAACGAGAGTGGTGTTTTTAGTCGACATTTGGTGTGCCGGACCAGCGTACTCAATCAACCTTACTACTACTAGACCACAGACAGCTATCTACTAACCAAGAATTTAAAAGCAAAGAATAGTCCACATAAATTCATATCTTTATAGAAAACGTTTCGGAGACCAGCTTCATCGTCAGTTCGTAGAATCTAGAATCACAAATCAGAAGTCACAAATTAATACATTGAAACCATAGAACGAATTGAATTTCTTTAATTAATTTAGATTTTTAATTCGATTTAAATTTTTAATTTAATTTATATTCTTAGTTGATTTGCGATTTAAGCATACAAGTGATATCAATTCTTTAATAGCTATCTACTAAGCGCCGCGCTTGTGTTGCATGAGGCATGGCCCCTGTCAATCGCTAGCTCGTCAATCGGTCAAGAAGCGCATGCAGAGGCTGCAAAGCGCCTCTGCATGCGCTTTGAGGCACTTGATTCTCGTGTGTTGCCCCTAGTGTGAACGGGCCTTTAGGAGTGCATGGCCCGAAAAAATCATATAGATAGGGAGGTGACCGAGTTAGATAAGTTCCTTTTAGGTTTGATATTAGATATGTATAAAATATATTTTCATTTAAAGAGCTCTTTTCTTTAGTTGGATTTAATAAAAATCTTAATAATCCTTTGAGTGAAGACTTGAAACAAAGACTTGATATGGACAATGAATGAACTGGATTTCTAGGCAATGAATTAGCTACAGGCCCAGCACCGTAAGCGGACGCGTCAACCCAGAGCTCTAGTTTACAAGCACCTTCGGAGTAATCGGGGTAAGCCAACTCCAAGTCTGACCAGAAGCAGGATTGGCGCTGCGATGAACCGATGAAGTTGCCTAACTATCACCAGCTGCAGGACTGCGCACCAGAAGTGGGATTTGTTTTCTTCTTCCTAAGAAGATTGACAGTCCAAAATAGAATGGGAATCCTAAAGCCCCTTTCACACAGGGCAGTAGATACTGCGCGCGTCAAAAATGCCGCGGCAGTATTTACAGCGCAATCTTTCACAATCACACGAGGCGCTTTTTACTGCTGGGATCTATCAGTCTTGCAGTGCTTTATGCACCATCAGTCCATCTCTATGTTCATGTAACAATATTTCTTTATGAAAATATATCTCTATGTGAGAATGATGTAAATACATCTCTATCTAGGAAATACCTATATATTTTATGGAAAATATATCTTTTATAAAGTATATCTCTATCACTTTAAGGAAATATATATTTAACAATGTATATGTTTATGTAACAATATTTATGTACCGATATTTATGTTACAATATCAGTCTATAATCTATCAGTCTAGCAGTGCTGTTTATTATGCACCTAAAATACGGCCCCCACGGGCGGCGCCCACTGTCTGCTGGGATCTGGCGTCAAAAACCGCCCAGTGTGAAAGATTACGTTGAATACCATTGTCCATTGGCATTGCAAGCTAAACTGTCGCGACAAATCTACCGCCCCAGTTTTAGCTTGACACACGCTGGCGTCAGGCGTCAAGTTCTACGCCGCAGTAAAAGCAGTCGTGTGTGAACAGCAGTGCACATTTCATATGTCCGCTAAGGTTCGGCAGTAAATACTGTCGGACGCTGGCAGTATTTACTGCCCTGTGTGAAAGGGGCCTAACTCCTAAGTAGAATGAAATTAAACTGAGAAAAATTTTAAAGTCTGGAATGTCTTTTAAACTTTAAAGTCTGAAAAAAATAAAACAATTGATGATAAAGTTCTTTTAGTAAATATTTGTTGGTCAGCATGCAAAATGCAAATACTATGTTTTTTCTTATTTAAACAAAAAATTTTTTGATAGAATTCATTCTCTACTCTTAAATTAAACTTGTATAAAGGAATAACTTTGGCCAAACTAAACCATTATTTTTCTTAAAGGTGCATTAACATGAATTAACTTAATAAACTCTGCTCACCAAGTAGTTGAGTAGATTCCTGAGAAGGTCCCAACATGGAGCACAGATCCTTTGGTGAAATTTTGTTGAGATCATCCCATAGCAGTGGTGATAAGACTTTGTGCCATATATCGTACACAAACACATCCACCAAGTGGCAGTTTGCCAGAGCTAGAAATGGGCTCAAGTTAGTAGCCACATAGTGGAGAGCTTCATGGACAGCCTCTCTTGAAGTCATTTAAAGGAAGGACCTGAAAGTACGATTTTTAGGTTTTCAAAATTTTATGTTAATATGTATCTAAATTGTTGGTGTAAAAGACCTTTTAGATTAACCTGTGCAATGAATGTTATGTGGACAGTCAAATATGCATATAGTAATTCTTTTAGTATTTGCCATAATAAAAACCATGACTTATCACTGACACACTGACATCTTTGCATCATGGTGGTAAATGAAACTTTTATGCTGACCTTCCTGTGGAAAAATCAGCTCCTGGTATTTACTCCGTAGTCTCATGGGATATTTTACAAATTTTAACTTGATCAGGCAATTAGAAATCCAGGGTGCAGAAAATTGGTGAATATCAAAAGATGTTTCTCTATGCTTCTGCAGCAAAATTTACGCCTTCTGAAGATCTTGCCGACACATTTGGATTGAAATTATTGCATATGAGAAATAACTTCAAAATCAGGGTTGGTGATTTTTTTTTATTTAAAAAAAATCAAAATCAATTTTTATCAACTCTTTTGTCTTTTTGAAATGTTATTTTTTATGTTGCAATTAGCCAACTAACAATAACAGTATATGGATGTCTAAAAAGGGCAGTTATATCTTTCAAGAATGGCTAAGAAGGTGTTTACCACTTTGGGACTTTTGAGTAAACAATTATTGATAAGTCTATTCATTAGCTTTGTAAAGTTTGTATGGAGCAAAGTAACGAGTTAAATAATGACCATTTAACTGGCTTCAATATACAACAACACTTCAGGAATGCAGATCTTCTGAACATTGAAGAGTCACGTAACAGATAGGTAGCTGATAGCACAGTGCACAACACTATCGATGGATCTACTAGTTTTATGTCCAGGTCCTATAAATCTACCAGACTCTACCCTCTAAACACACCAACTAGTACCTAATGACTGAGTGACTGACTCAGACCCTATAGGTGTAGGATGCCTGGGATCTGCAGTGGCCCCAGTGAAGCTGGGCCAAGCCTGAGCAGTGAGGATGTGGGTAGAAGTTGGGTTTGTTCTGAAGCAATGAGATGCACTGGGGCAGCCATGGCTGCCTGCCAGTACCCAGTTGAGTCTGGCAGATTTGGCAATGCGGGCAAACATATCACAGTGGAGAGTGCACTTTGCCACCTTGTTAACCCTTCAGTCAAGATGATATCCCTTAGGAGGGGGGCAACTAGGCAACTAAATCTGGATAGGAAGGCAGGTGGCCGTCATGGATCATTCTCTCGGAGGAGCGGGAGGTTTGGGTGAAGTCATGGGTCAGGAAGAGGAGAAGAGATGTGCCAACACTGCCAAGGACAGGGCAAGGGAGCCTTGAGGGAAAAGGGGAAAGGCAGTTGTCTCCATTGAAGAGTAGGGGGTTCGGAGACATCCCTGGACTTGAGAAGAAAATTTGATTATTCCAATGTTGTCTACTAAACAAATAACTTAACTATTTGAAATTGTGTCCTTATTTACATGAATTACTTTTTTTCTCTTTGCAACCTGGCTCTCAAGCATTGAAGCAAAAAGAGGGAAGCGATAAATATGTGTTAAAAATTACTGAATATAGAGTTTGTTATGAATTTGAAGACCATTTTTTTTAATCTTTTTGTGTCACTAAACATTAATGATGGATTTACTTTATCCACTACCTACTCATTTTCCAGGAGCCACTTAGTCCTAGAAAATTAATTGTGTAGTTAATATAAATCTCAGTTTAACACAACAGTGCCATGAGTTTTGATACCAAGAATGAGGCTTCTAGTGAAGATGGTGGATCAATGTCAATAGTGGATGAGTTCAACTGGAGTCTTCATGTGTGGCAAAAATCATTGTTTAATCAATCAAATTCAACTCTAAATTCATTATTGAATGCCAATAGATTTGACTATGTTCAAGCAAGATATGGGTAAGTACTTTAAACAGTTTAGTTCTCAAAACATTTGAATGAATAAGCTGCTATATGTATTTATTTAATGCCAAGCATTTTTTATTTACTATATATTTCCAGCTTGAGTAAGTATGTCTGATTTAGACAAAGCCATTGATTGCTCATATGTAGAATTAAATGGGTGATACTTAAATGAGTGGTATCTCACAAAAAATTCCTGGCAGAGTGATATATTATGTTTGCTCTCATATTACTGACTTCTTTTCCAAGCCTTCCATTGCATCATGATTATTAATTTATTTTTTCAGTTCTTCTGGTATGATGAATCCTGTTGAACATGAATCCCTGTTGCAATACTGTGAACAGCTGGACAACCAAAATAGTGGATCAGGAGGCAACCATGCTAATATTATACTACCTCTTATCAAAGATATGCCAAATGGTAAGTTTCAAGTATTCAAGTATAACCCTCAATTTTAAGTTTTTAATGTTTTTTGTAGAGCCTGGAATGCAAACATTGTGTTGCTGATATATGTTGCAGTAATTCTATTCACTATATATTTTCCCTTCAATTGTAGATTTGTAACCTTTTATATGTTAATTTTAATTTGTATATATATTCATTCCTACTCATTTAACTGCATTCTTACATAAATGAGTACTCGAGTTTTTTTCTAGTCTAGGTTTATTAAAATAATTTACAGTTGGACTGTGTTACATTTAATATCACAATAATGATATGTACAGCAATGATCTTAGGGTATATCTCACTCTAAAAATTTGTAGACAAATAAAACAACAAGCTAATAATTTACACATGGTTTTAAGAATTTATTTAATTATATATTGATGAATATTTGTATCATGTAAGAATACAATTGTTTCTACTGAACTAGCTAAGCTCGAGATATTAATGTGCATGTTCAGATATGTACATGATGGACTGCATGGAATATTCAGAATGATTCTCAAAGCCCTTTCATTGTAGGTTTGGAAAGATATTTATTTATTATTCTCATCTAAATTTATAACATGAAATTTGCTTTAACAGATTGCCTCAAGTGGAAGCATTCTCTCCCGGACTCTTTTTTGGATAACTTGAAAGAAGAAAGCAAGCGTTCCCTTGGGAGCACTCCTTCTTTCCTGCCATCTTCTTCAGCACTCATTGATTTAGCAGATGCTCTAATGAATCCACCAAAAGTAATTGTCTCACCATCAGTTCTCTTTATTTGTTGTGTGTGTAATCAAGATAAGTTTAGTGAAGCAAAAAATACCCTTGTTAATTTTCTACTTGCAAACATTCTAAACATTTTATTGAAGTTCCTGATTTCTCTTGGTTGGGCCATGTCTATTCAGTTAAAAAAAAGTTATTTAGTTAAAATTAAGTTTTGAGTTTGATTCTCTTCCAATAAAATTTGTTTTTGCAATGGATCTTCAGAAAATTTTCATTTTTTTTTTTTGTATACATGAAGAACCTTTATTGTTAGCCGAGATTCAATTTTTTTCTCACTAAAACTTTTGGAAGATCATTTTGTGCTTCAGTTGATACTCAAAATATTTGACTTGTTTCTATCTCAGATTACTGAAATTGTGCCACATCTTTTGTAGGAAGGAAATGATTCGGAAAATTTCTCGCCTAGTGAGATGAAAGAAAATGTTCATATCAAACCTCCATTGGATTCATCAGCACCTGCCAACCGCCAACACTCTAATGTCGGTAACAGCAATGCTGACCTTACAACCTCTCATATGGCGGACAATTTCAGAAGAAATCTATGCAGGGATTCTGATAATGTAAATAAACTTCATTTGCCTGGCCACATTTCTCCTGCAGCGCCTGAAGAGTTTCCAAGAAATAATTCTTCTATGCAGCATATTTCTTTGCAGGCTTACAATAACGCATCAAATTCCCGACACACTTCTGACATTGAACATTCAAGAATCCCTAATATTTACACTTTTAATCCATTATCTGCAAAGGATCCTCTCAGTACCGAATATAGTGAACACTTGAAAGCTAATAAATACAACTCCACTGGAAGAGGAGCACCTTATCCATGGCAGAAGAACACAAATAATTCCTCCCAGGAATTGGTGAAAGAGTCAGACTTCAGGACTGCCGCTCATCAGCTGGTGAGCTTCTTACTAACTTATAAGAAGTGTGATACAGTGTGATCGTACAGTGATCTTATTGTAGCATTTTTTTTAAAAGGCCTCCCACACTCACCATTCCAACAAAAAGGAATTAATTTTATTCCTTTTTGTAGCATTTGATTCACTACTGCGATTTGTATGTGCAAGAGAAAGAATGATTTAAACTTGAAGTATGCAGTGCTGATGATTTTGGCAAAAAAATGACCAATGATTATCCAGAATGTATTAGTTTTTCGTGTCCTGCAATATTTTATGTATTTTTATAAATATGTAACCTACAAAGATCATTAGTAGATTATTAGATTAGGAGGTGATTATTCCTGTTCATTTTTTAAAACATCCAATTGATTATTTTATGATTTGCATGGAGTGTGTGTAATATATAATTTCTATGCATTGCATGGGATACCTATTAAACTAGATACTTATTTTCTAATGCTTTGGGCATTTCCAGGTAAAATGCAGGGATTGGTTTTCTCTGTAATTGTATTTTCTCAGAATTTCTCTCGACAAACTCTATGCTTAGTTTATGTTATTTTCTTTGCTTAGTCACTGTAATAACTGTATTAGTTAATTGAAATGAACACTCCTCGTCACATTTGGAACAATGTGGTCGAGGCCAGGCAATAATGGGAGTGTTAAACACTGCTAGCACTCATTTGAATCATCAATTTTTAATTATTTGAGTATTGGGTCATAAAATAAGCATAGATGTGCCTCCTTTCTTTAGATAAATATCTAATTATCAAGTTATTTACACTTAATTATACTTCATGAACCGAATACCATTCTGTTCATTTATTGCACAGCGGCTGAACCAAGTGAAGCATTGTGGTGGTCGCGGTGGCAGCCGTCACGGCGGTCGCGGCTACCTTGACGACAGAGGCGCCCCAGGTGACAACACTGGCGGGTTGTCCGCTAGTCTGTACGGCAACACCGAGCGCCGGTCTCTGGGCACGAGACCAGGCGCTGTGTCGGGCAAGTTTGTGCCTCCCGTGCGCCGAGGAAACTCTGGTGACAACAACTGGTGAGTTGGCTTGATAGAATAGATCGACAAAGATAGAACAATACTTCCTTGGTAGGCTAATTAAAGTGCATTTCAGAGTAAATACCCCGCTAAATCTCTGTAATAGGTGTCAGTATAATTAGGGATATGTCGATAATTGACTACAATGTTGACAATCGACAATTTATGACAATTTATGCCCTTTGCCGCTATCATAACAATTTATGTGTGCAGATTGCTTGTTGAGTATTTTTTTATTAATTCATACACTAGTTAGATACTGATGGGAACAATGAAGCACACTGTATAGTACTTCTATCTCCAGCTTAACTTTGATGTAATGAATCAATTAGTGCAATACTTGATCTCAGTTAGGACTTCTGATGAAGTTTTTTTTTTGTCTTGTGGAAGCAGCTTTAGCTTGAGGTCATGTCATCCATGAACTCGTTCACTCATCTTTTTTTTTCCATACGAAACTCTTTGAATGCTTAGCTTTGATAATCCCTGCTATTTTAGAATCTCAATATATCCTGAGTCCCGTCATCTCCAATCACGTAAATAATGGTAAAAGTAATGTGTTCTTATAATTCAGAGACTCTCTCTAACCCACATCCAAAGTGAAACGCAAAATAATAATAAATTTTAATAAAATTGTTCAATTGAAATGATTAAATAAAAAAATTAAAATATTTAAGATTTTATTATATTTTTCAGAACTAAACCCATAATAATTTGAAAGTCAAATTCAAATTGTGAATCCAACCTTGCCTCTCTGTTCCTACAATGTCTTACTATTTTCCCCACTTATAGTGAAATTGCATTTGAACTTCCAAGGTAATATCCCGACACATAAGTATCGTGTAAACGCGCCCGAACCGTGCCAGCTAGTTATTTGTAGTGTCTGTCGCCAAGCATTCATACCCACAAATTTTCTAAAACATAAAATAGATTATATATAAAAAAAATATTACGTTTCTGAAGCTCAAATCCTGGCAACTAAGGCAGAAGAAACAGTGGATCAGTTTGTACCTAGTTTACATGAATTTCCTGTATCGAGAAAACCTGAAGTTTTCTAACCAAGTAGAACACTTAACATTAGTTTTGAAAAAGAGATACCAGTAGATTCGCCACGCACAAATGTTATTAAATTTTCTTATTAAATTTGCCTACTTTGAAACTTCGTTCCTAAAGTAGGTTCTTCGGCAATTTCCAATTGACTGATTGTAATTCATATTATATTGTTGCTGACAAACTTTGAACTTATGGCTGCTAATTTAATTAGATATTGATTTTCTTGTAATAATTTAAGCGAGGACAGTAATTTTTAAGGGTAATTAAAGTGAGCCTGCTTGACTCTTGATATACGGGAATTATCCAATGGTTACTTATGTTATTGTTTTGCTTTGCAGTGGTCAGAAGAGGGGCGCAGCGGCTGCGTACGGTGACTCCGATGACGGCAACGAGCCTGGGCCCTACGACCACATGATGGCAGACCCAAGGTTCAAGGTGATAAGCTTGATGCTAAATACATTCTTTTTTTTTATCGAGCATAAAAATTTTTTGGATCTCATTGTGCATGAAAGCTGTTCATTTAAATCCATGTAATCTACGAGATAAACTTTGCTACACTTTAGGAATAGGCCAAAGCTGAATTATGCTATATTTGCTAGCTCTGCCGTGTAGTGTAATGAAGAACTGATTTTTTTAATCCAAATGTAAGTTAATATCGAGTCAATATATAACTCTTTCATTATGTCTCGATCTCGCTTTCTATTCTTCCATTGTCAATGCTATTTGTACGTTTGTGTCCTTAAAAAATAAATTAATTAAATAAAAGTTGAGGCGAGCAGGTGCTCATGGTGAATGATTTTGAATCTACACGAACATTCCTTGTTTACTCTAACTCTTCAGTTTAATTATTATTCCCTGATATGTGAGGTGAGGGAGCATGTGTGAGAGAATGTATTGTTATTATGTGTAAAGATTTTCATTAATTGACTACATGTTTATGCTAGATACGTTATTAACTTCTTCAGAACATCGACAGCAAGATGGTTGAGCTCATCATGAATGAGGTGTTGGACACCAGCCCTGATGTTCACTGGGACGACATTGCAGGCCTGCTCGATGCCAAAGCCACCATCCAGGTGATGTCTTCATTGTCTTGTTAAAATGAGTGCAGAGTAGCACCTTCTATCTGCTCTGTCATGTGGTACTGTTAATGATAAGTGAGTCGCCACTCTGTGGGTACTGCACTTAATTTACTGCTCAGCTCTGACGACCGTATAACCCTGGCCAAAAGTACGATTTGCAGGGTTCGCTTACCATATAATAACTATAAACTTACTTTAATCGCGCTCGAAAGTTTTCTTCTGTAAAAAATATTGTCCATATCGATCGTTATTATTGAAAGCCGGCGACGTAAGTGCTGTGGCGACTGTGAAAGTGTAATTGACGCTCCTTGATGCGCATTTCAAAGCTACTTTACATATAAAGTATTACAATACATGTCGTGAGTCTTTCACTTGCATTTTATTGAAACTACAAATCTCAATGATTAGGTAACAGGTAAACGTCTGGTCCTGTAGAAAAATGAGAAGACATTAGAGCAAGGGAATCAACTCGCATTTTCACACATAACTCATAGCACTGATTTCCTCATTTTTGTTTCATTTAGTAAAAATTTCGTTTTGATGTTGCAAAACGTTTCAGTTAGAAACAACTCTCGAATTGTTAAAATATTTGCTGCTCGTACCTCGTTAACACCTACCATTGGTCCTACAGGAGGCGGTCGTGTGGCCTATGTTGCGGCCAGATATTTTCAGCGGCCTGCGTGGGCCTCCTAAAGGCGTGCTGCTCTTCGGGCCTCCTGGCACTGGCAAAACTATGATAGGTGAGCTGTACACATCCGTTCTTATACGGACTTATTATTTTGTCCAGTTTAACTCAACTTTCAGTTCGTGATTGCATCACCAAAAAATTTAATTGGAATTTGAAAAAATATTATGCCAATAAAATGTACCATATTTTTTTGAAAATCTTCTAAACACAAGCTCCGTCACTAGCTCAAAATGCAATAATATAAAGAGTAATCTAACGTACGACTAAATTTGCACAGTATAGATTAAAATTTGTTTTATTTGAGGAAATCTTTGGACATCCATCATTTTAATTGGTTCTTTTGGCTGGTTGGCAAAGTTCATCATTGTTAATCCCTCTTTTGTATTACGGCACAAGGTAAAGCAATAGCAAGTCAGAGCGGCGCGACGTTCTTCAGCATCAGCGCGTCGAGCGTGACGAGTAAATGGGTGGGCGAGGGCGAGAAGATGGTGCGTGCTCTCTTCGCTGTCGCCAGGTGGTGCCGCCATACACTCTTATGCAGATTTGTTGCTTATACTGAGTTAGATCTCTTTAATTGAATTATTATAGTGAGATTTAATCCTCTTCATCTTTTAAAGAACTGGCCTGCTTTTGTAATACTCATCTTTGGTTATTCAACTGATATTTTAGAGAACTGAGGCTGCACTGTATCAAAACTTCCTTTAATAGACGTTGTGGCCGTTTTTTCGTTTGTGATTGGTGGGTTCCCCTTAAAAAGCCGTCAATGATTACCTGAAAGAGTTACTAACTTGCAACTTTTTTGATAGTATGGCCCATGGTTCCCTGCTAGTGAGCTTAACTCCTTGCAAAAACCTGATCTTACTCTGGTAATCTGTTGCTCTTCTAATGAACAGATCACCTCTTAGAAAGTTGTGGCAAATATTTTCAGTTCTCGAATTAATGGAGTTTTATATTATCAGAGTGAAGAGTCCCAGCGTCATCTTCATCGACGAGATCGACTCGCTGTTGTGTCAGCGCAGCGATACTGAACACGAGTCCTCCCGACGCATCAAGACGGAGTTCCTTGTCCAACTTGTGAGCTTCAATGATATTTCTTTGTTAAAAATTAGCAATTTTCTACAACGAAGTGTCTGAACTTCATGTTATGCTTCTTCTTTGCGTGATGTTGTGATATGTACCCTGCAAAATATTACAGAAATAAATAAGTAACTTTTTTAAATCTACTATCCCAAGAGTAGCTGGAGTCTTGGAGACTCGTTTAACCACTGACCACCTCATGAACATATCCATTCCACACTTACTATGGATTATACATAAGCATGATCGTTTGTAGTTATGTCTGATCGCAACACAGCTTATTACTCTTCAGCCCATGCTCATAGGTTATCAAAATAGGTAATATACAGTATGATGACAGGACGGTGTGGGAACGTTGAGGGAGCAGGTGCTGGTGGTTGGGGCCACCAACAGGCCGCAGGAGCTGGACGAGGCGGCAAGAAGGCGACTTGTCAAGAGGCTCTACATCCCCTTGCCCGACCAGCAGGTTTATACTCTTGATTGAGAGTATTTTTAGAAGCGCAATACATATATAGTTTTTTCCCCTTTCAGGTGGTCAATTGATCGAATTCGCTTCCGTGTGTCTCTGATTTTCAAACTCTTGTATTCATAGATATTACTGATTTTTGTTGAACATAAATCCCAATGAACGTAGCTTTTGGAAAACTGTTTTGGAAATGATTTTTGTGCTCTGAATTAGAATTCCTTTGAGCGGTCAGGCTTCGTTTCTGTATATGAGTAAACGACCTTGACTTTCAGGCTCGTCGTCAACTCTTGGAGAAATTATTGAGCTGTCAGAACCACACTCTGACAGCGACGGACATGTCATGGGTGGCAACTGAGACCGAGGGCTTCTCAGGTGCTGACGTGGCCGCCTTGTGCTCCGAGGCTGCCATGGGACCTGTGCGCGCCATCGATCCTTCCCGCATGAGACACATCGCGCTCGATCAGGTACGACTTTCCTGCCACGTCGTAGTCCAAACCAGCCAACTATCTTCGCCTTTTATTAGATGTCTCGATTTTTCTTCACGCAAGGTGCATTTTCCTGTTGGTGGGAGCCCTCAGATTTCATTCATCTCTCGATCCCTCAGGGGCAACTATTTTATTACTTTTCAATACAATTTTTTAAGTACATTTAGAATTCGCATCGAAACTCTAGTCCATCAAGAGAATTTTGCGGTTGGTTACATTAAACTGAAAATTATTACAACATCTAATATATACCAAATAAATTCGTCTATTTTTAATTTTTATTTCTCGTTTGATCCATGTAAAATAAGCAAAATATTAATTCCACACACAAAAAATGGTAATCCACAAAAAAACACATAATACTTTATAAGAAGACTTGAAAAGCTTTAGGTGAACCAATATAAATTACTTATTCGATTTTTTTTTGGGTCCAGGTGCGCCCTATTGGCATCAACGACTTTCGTAAAGGAGTGAGCAGCGTCCGCCCTAGCGTGTGTCAGGACGAACTGAAGCTTTACACTGAGTGGAACTGCAAGTACGGCATCACCAGAGCTGCCGGGCCCTGAGGGCGAAAAACATTTGCTACACCTTGATCTTGCTCAACGATCGATCCAGGATAACTTTTGGGAAGGATAACCTTGCTAAAGATTATCCAATTGATATAATGAACTAGTCGTCGGGTGAGGGTCCCAAAGGTCTTGTTTCGGACATGCTGTTATTTTTCTTATCTCCTTTCATATTTACATAGAGTAAGAGCTCAATAAACATATCAAAAATAAACGAATAATAAATCTATTGAGGATTATATTTAACTATTACTAGTTGCGAAAACGTTGTTCCAACATGTATAGTTTTGCTAGATTGTGATCGCAAGAATACAAAACAAAACCATTTGACGTAAGTTTGGAAATAAAATATTTTATTATCTTGAACTTTCATTTCCAATTTACGACAATTGTTATGTGAGAAGATTAATAGCGAAAATAATTACTTGTACATAGAGAGATCAAAAGAATATTGAAGCTTGGCTGGTTACAGCTGGCGATTAACCCTCGAGTGTAACATTCCAAGTTGATACCCAAACTTTAAATTGTGTTTTCAATGTTTTAATTTTGTACAATTCTTTATTCACGTATGTGCTTATTCTTTAGTATGTATACAAACTTTGAAATGTACCGCGAGTTAAATAATTCAAGTAATAACAATGCTGCGAGAGGCAAGAAACGGTGTCTTTGATGTATTTGTATGCTGGTCAATAGCATAGTTATAGCAATATAAGTTGGTTGAGACGCCACTTCTCACGGCCGCTCGTGTTCAATAGAAGGAAGGACGACACTCAGAGCCGCTCAGTCTGACCACCACGGGCGCGTCAGTTGTCGAGTGATGCAAGCCGTCGTCCTCGTCGCTGCGACTACGCAACGTGGTTCCTGATCAGAGTTACATCGCTTTTAGTATATTTATTAGCGCGATGCCTACGGTCACACAAGAGTGACTGCAGCAGACAAAGTGTTAGCTCGTCATCATGATACGTAAACGGTACTGTGAGCTCCGGCTCCTGAGAGGAATTTGTGAGCAAATAAATTATTTCTTCAAAGTCTTATGCACATTCAACATGTTTTGATATTTTAATTGCAATTATTTCGTTAATTACTTACCGCCATGCAGAATTTGTGATGGTGAGACGAACTAGAATTGTAGTTCCTTTGTACCAGTCATACTTGGGTGTAATATCCTAAATACGCGAATTTAACATGATTACGTTAATCTGAGCAATCGTCAAATATCAATACGTTAATTTGGGTTATGAAGCCATGCTCAATACGCATGAAGTTAGATATGCGTAAGAAACTTTTACTATTTCTTGCCGTTCACAGCGGCTATATCTACTTACAACGGCTAGTCAGGCGCAGTAGGACACGATGTACAATATAGTAGGCGTTTACTCGGTATATTTTGGTGTTGCGACACATGGAAATGTTCTAGTTAGTGGTTAGTATAAATTTATTGAATTCATGACTACGGCTTACAATATCATTCATATTACTCAGACCTTCACGTTCTGGTGCTTAATAAACTTATATGCTATCAATGGGGCCTCACTAGAATCGCGAAGCAATCGATGAAGATTTTACAATAATTATAAACTTTTGTTGTTTTATAAAGGCTTCAAAAAATTACAGTAACTGAAAGTTACAAAAAATAAAAGCAACTCAACTATTTGAATTGGTAGGAGCTTAAATAAATAGCCTTCATGCATCGAAGTAGGCAACCTGTTTTTCAGGCCTAGAGCGGCAAATAAGCGTATACATGAAATGAATCCTGCTAAGAAACCTATAAATGTACAAATCTACAAATATTATTAAATGCAGCTAAATGTACAAGTATACTAGGAGCACCTCTAGGAACTAAATTAAATATCAATTATAATGCAAGAACATAGTCAACACCCGAGGAGTTCGTAAGCGGCAATCATATTCTCTTGATTATCATCGGGTTGTTGATAATCAATATTTCTGTATCCGAAGTATTGAGTGCAAATATGACGACATGTCAATGATATATACATAAAAAAGCATATCGGGCTCCACCTCAAAATTTCGCGGGTTGGGACTGGTCCATATCATAAAAGTTCGCCTTCAGGCAACAATTTTGTACAGGCTAACTTACACCTATCTTCCGTATGAAACAAGATCATTTCTTTGCCAAAACAGACGCATCATATCATTTTCGTATAGCGTCTGTTTTGGCGTATAGCGCATTATACATTCTTACGTCTAAGTGATGTTTATGATGGTTACAATATCTACAAGTCATTCTTCATTTACATACGTAATGATTGCAAGGAGAGGAACTTCTGTTCTATTACACGATATTTACATATGTACTATGTTTATCGTACTTGCTACAATTCCAAGTCGGCAAATTTCTCCGTGCATGATTTAGACCGAAGATATTCGTTATTATTGACAGTTTCTTTCCCAAGAGAAGGTCGAGGTGGTATGGCTGGTGGAGGTCCACACACAGAGTTTGCTTTAGGTCTATTCCTCTCGCTTAGTGTGGATCGAGGCCTGGGGATTGGAATGATAGCAACGCTAGTTTGAGTGGAATAGGCAGATGTTTTACGCGTGTTTATGCTGGCATTAGATGAAGGAGCGGGAGGTTCAGTGGAGTTGAAATTTGGATAGTTTTCAGAAGGAATGAAATGAGCATTGAGGAACGAAGCACTCAGAGTCAGAGGAGGTGATGGGGAGCCCATGCTTGAATCAGTTGATTGTGAAGGAGACCCTAAGCTGGATATACTCGTGTTAGTATCAGGAATGGCTTTTTCACTTTTACGTGATTTTTGCCACGAAAATGATGGTGCCATGCGTCGAGCCATGATGCTTGCACTGGAGTCCAGATTACTCCACTTAATGCTACGAACCGAGAAGGAACTTGACGAGCTCGAGGCTGGACTTGCCCTCGCGTGGTCCAGTGCTCGAGGACCGCCAAAACTTTTGCCTCTGCTCGATTCAAAAGGTTTTTCTCCTTGAGAAGAAGAAGTAAAATCATCAGACACAGTCGTGTTGTCTGATAAATTAAACGAATTAAAGGCTAGTGTACCACCAGACTTGGCGTGGCCAACAGAAGCCTCGCAACAACATCCACAAAGGCGAGTCCGTACGGATTCCAGAATCTTCGGCTTCAAGATGAAGATAAGGAAGATGATGAAACCCTGTCGACGAATAAGATTTATTAGTTAATGAATGAGGTAAGCAATGCTACAACATGTGTAGGCAATTTTTGCTGTTGTGTGGCATCATGTTGGCGGACTATGAAAATATCTGGAGTCATCAAGGTTTAACAGAGTTTTCCCTCTAACTGGTAGCATGTTGGAGCTGAAACGACTGCTACGGAAAATAAATCCCATTAATACGTACATGAATCAAGGATTAATTTTGGCTTAAGGATTGAGGTGTGATGGTCAATGGGGAAAATGATGATCACGTTCCACTCTTAATGAAGAATTATTAATTAATCTTAATAAAAATTAATTTATAATAAAGATTTATTTGTGGAACAATCTCACATTCGAGCTATCCATTTGTCAAAAATCTCTAAGATGAAATTAATCAGCGAAAACTTAAAATCGGTTGGCCGAATTTACATTCTCAACTTTAAATAGAAGCTAATTTCTTAATGAGTCCCAAATTGATCAAAGACTCGTTTCTTTATCATATGACAGAATATAAATAGAAGCGCGGGGAGAATGCTCTCAAAGAAACTGAATGATGAGTTCACCCACCATTTCGATTAGTTTTCTAATTATTTCATTGTACCGAATGCTCCACATCCGTAGACATACTCTCTTTAATAGTATAAATGGCCATAATAATAATTTATAATGTGCCGATTAAGAGATGAAGGCTTGATCGCTCGATATGTACAATGTACATGTCGAATTCTAAATCTTGCCTAAGAACAACATCTTGAAAATTCGAGAACCCATCTTGTTTTTAACTATTTTTGACAACTAAATTAACGCTCAAACAAGCGGATACAACTTATCAAATTTAATTCCAATTAATGCAAGATGTTACAGAGACCATACCTGGAAGCAATTGATGACGTCACTGATATACCAGACGGTGCGGGGTCCCAACTGGAACGATACGATCTCTGCGACCCAACTTATTCCCATCACCAGGAACAACTGCAAAAAATTGTGAATTAAAGGAACTTTTTTAAGGCCTTTAACCTTTATAAACGTTGAATTTTTAGTTCAATGAACTAATGGTATTTCATAACAACCTAAGTAAGTATTGACACCGATAGTCTGTTTCAGTTAGTTCGTTTCTTTACTCACTTTCAAACACACAAGCAATAGGCAGTTATTGAACATAAATTGCAACTAATTAATATCAAGTTTTCATAAAAAATTATGGGAGAATAATTTTAGTCGTTTGGTCCCACCTTGAGAAAAGAAAACAAAAACACAAAGAAATGACATTCAGCTAATTTCAATGGGCTATAATTCTATTTAAGCGTATAGACATTCATTAGCAACGAAGTTCGTTGCTCGCGAGCAAAATTCATTTCTCATCTTGCTTATTTTCATTTCATTAATTCAACTTAGAGCGATTATAATTATGAAACCTCGGCTAGACTGCTGAAATAATTCGTTAAGAGTTGAACGGATTGTCAACATCCATTAAGATTAAGCTAAAAACAGCAATATTATCATGGATGTGATAGCAAATTTACTACTCAAATCAATGAACGGAATGAAGCTCATTGTTCCGGCGTTTGTTAGCTTAAAACTTAAAAAATTAAGAATACCAAAGTATGATTGAAAATATTGATTGAATATTAATATTGGATATATTTAAACCGTATTGCTCATCTTCGGATATTTTCCATAACTAACGTACCTACTAGTTTTCTACAAGCTCTGATGGCCAGAGACCCAAAATTATATAAAAAATACAAATATAATAATTTGATTACAAATAAATGCCCAAACCTTGAAACAGAGTCTAAGTCGCTGCCTCGTCTGCCGCTGCGTGGTGCCCTTGTGGCTTTGTTTGACCGTCTGCAGGAGAGTGCGGACGGTCAGCACGAAGAACGCCAGGTCCGCCACCAGCAGCACGGCCACGGGACCGAAGAAGTAGGCCCACTTCGCGCCGTTGTTGTGACTTCGCGTGACTGCAAGAAACAGTTCCTTGAATTAATACGTTTAATTAGCAGCGGTTGATCTGATTCTGTTAGAAAAAGTCTGATTCTGAGAAGTAGAAACGAAAATTAATTTTAAAAGTATATTTTCCTGTACATAAGCGGTGGCTGATATACGGTATTCCTTCGTGTTTGACCAACTATAGTCGCGTCAAGTAAATCTGCCCTAAATATGCTCAAGAAACATACATATTGAATACAAAATAAAAGTTACAATATGGCGGATTACAATTCAAAAAAACCATGTCAAATCAAAACGTCCTAATGTTGGTTCAATAAGGTTTCAATAATGTACACATTAAGCTACCCCAACACCTCATGCATAGTTTTTTTCGTCTGTTAACACCATGAAGCTTGCAGGTGTAAGACTTGCTCTTCATGTTTTGAAGTTAAATCATCATATGACAAGCGCGTAGTTGGAAATAAGGCAATTCTTGGATTTAAATTTCAATGCTGAATTTCGAATGATTGATTAGGCAATATTTTTTGCATGAAATATTGTTTACAAAGGAAACGTATATCATGTGCGGAAAATAGCCAAGATCATACAATTTATCTTGGTATCTCAAAACATTAATTTTGACAACATTAAAAGTTTGAGTAAAACGAAAATTTTCTTTATTTCAAAACATAAATATTGACAGCATTAAAAGTTTGAATAAAATGGACATTTTCATCAATCTTACAACTGAAGAAGCAGGAATAAGCCCCAAACTTGGGCTTGATGTAGCAGTTGCTGATGCCAGGCGTGAGCTCCATGATGAGGGCGACGGCAGCGAAGACCAGCGGCGAGCACCACGCGTATAACTGATACCACAGCCAGCGCCTGCCGCTGCTGCTGCTCTCCTGCCTGCCAATACAACACGCGTGCGATGCTTCATAATTGCTCCATAAATAATTATTTGATCAAATACAATTATTTGGTCAAACGAAAGTACAACGGAATGTTCAATTAATGTAAATGTCCTCTGCTTTAAAGTGGGAGTAAGAATAAGTAGAATAAGAACTAAACCTTTTTGAAAAAAGCAAAAAGCTTTAAATGAATCGTGTTCATTATAGTAATTAGCCGTTTGAAAAATGTCAAACTTTGATTCTCTGATTGATATTAAACGGGCCCACATCCACAGTATATAGTTCCTCAACTGTCGAATCGTATTGAGTGAAGTTAATGTGAACTTTAACAGTATTGAATCCTTTGGTTTTGAAGTAATGATACGATTGTCATACATCAAAACAGACTTGAAACATAAGGAACCAAATAAAATTATAATATTTTTAATAGATTAGATAAAAATACAGTCGATTCAGAGGCCTTGATAGAAAATACCTCAGACGCAGTACCAAAGAAAAAGATTAACCTTGCCCGCTGGGCGACCTAGAATGATTTCAGAGTTTGAAATTCATTGTCGTACTCATTCAACAGTGTTCCGAAATGTTGTCAACGTACCTGGCACATTTCCACCACAGTTCGAAGCACAGAACATTCAGCCAGAAAAATGTTGCCATGAAGAAAACGTACGTACAGGCACCTGCAATACACTACAGGTTAGTGATATTTATTTGATAAATTAATAGCTGTCTGTGCTTGTGAAAGAATATATCAGTTGGCAAACTGCAATACAAGCGATTTAGAAACTGTCTTAAAGGCTAGACTGGAGGAATGAACTTGCAAGGTATTGCAGCCTCATTAAAATCACATTTTCAGGAACTCGACTAAGTTATTAGTTGGATCAGTAGGGCAGCTATATATAAATGCTTAAATTAAATCAAAGATGAAACAAATCGATAGAATATTTATAATTCAATCTTTTTTAAACAAGCAGCAGCGTACCGAGGGCAATACAAGCGTTAGGGTTGGCGATGTTGATGGGGTCCGAGGCCGTCTTGATGATGATGAGGCAGAGATAAGCGAAGAACAAACTGAACAAGAAGCACAGCAGGATCCGACCCAGAATGCTGTGCCCTAGCTTGATCTGAAAATAAATCATACACAATAAATACGGATATGGAACGCGCTGCCAATAGAATATGTCGTTAACATTATAAAAAATCTGGAACGTAAAATAACTTTAAGCATATTTTATAAAAATAACTCAGTACTCACTGCACTGAGTGACAGAGAGCGCATTTTCTCGTCGACGAAAACTTGAGGTCACGGACGGACGGACAGACAGACAGACAGACGGACATGGCAAGCACAATAGTGCATTTTTTCCATAAATGAGAAAATTCGCTAATAATACCTTGATAATTAGTGAACTGAATGATTGAAAAGCATGAGCTGCGACTCACATTTTTATTTAGTCCACGTTGAGTTTGATCAGGAACTGTGAGGTACACAACGAAAGAAACGAGAATAAAGAAGTCCGAGATGGCCAGGAAAACCGAGTAGACATAATTGACTTCTTCCTTCTCGGTGGAGGTTATGCCGAGGTGTCGCCAGTCTTCTTTGAAGCAAAGTACGGCCCCCGATACGATAGAGCCATCGATGTCTTCAACCTTAACAAATGGGCTCATGTTTCAGCAGAGTTCGAGCGCTAAGTTATTAATGCAAAAATAAAACTTGTCCCAAAATTTTAGTGTAAATGGAACTTATAATTTGCACAAAATTCTCCTTTCTACAATAATAAGACGTATTGCAGTCACCAAAGTTCGTCTTCATTTCGATCAACTTTGAGTCGCATCACGGCCGTTCCTAAGCTTCCCCAACGTCTACTAGCGGAGTACTGAGGAACTTTCACATTTCGCACAAATTTAATTCCTCTTTCGGGCTACAACCTTTCAACCTCCCCGTATCTTGAAGCTTGTAAAATCAAACCTGCTCGTAGCAGAAGTCGCCCTTTGGCACTCTGAAGACCTGCTCCTGCTCGCACTCGTCGGAGTTGATGCTCGTGTAGCGCAGGTCTCCCGAGACCAGCAGCTCAGCGCGCTCAGAAGGCGACGTCAGGTACTGGTGGCTGCACGATGGGAACCCGATGTCGTAATCCGCGTCCACTGTCTGTAAAATAAGGTCATAGACTAATTTTGTTTTAAGGTATTGGTAACTGTGCGATGAGAACCCGATGCCTTAATCAGCATCCAGGGTCTGTGCGAATAAGGTATTCATTTTACTACTTAAAAGATAAGTCAATATTTCTATGCGGTGAGATACGTTGTGATCCAAGGCTAATTAAATCTTACTATAACTGTACCATGAAGTTCACAAGGCATGACAAATATCAAACAATTTCAAGTGTCCACACATTAGAGAAGAAATAAACGTGGCAGAATCAGGCAAGAAGTAAAATCAAACAAAGGAAATTATTTATTTGTGAAATAAGAAAAATCTACCTGGATAATAATACGATAAATTTAATGGTGAAATAAGATAGATCTATCGAAGATAACGAAGCATAACTCACATCAAGAGCCGGCGTGCCGTTATTGTGGTGCAGGAGGAGCTCAGCGCCAGGCAGCCTCTCAGGGATGCACGTGTGCATAGCGCGGTCCAGGAGCGTATACCTGACGGGTACAGAAATGTTCTGTAACAACGAGCGCTTTAGACGTGAACCTTACAGCGTCCCGCGTGATGAGCGCTCACGGCGTGAACCTTACAGCGTCCCGCGTGATGAGCGCTCACGGTGTGAACCTTACAGCGTCCCGCGCGATGAGCGCTCTAGGCATGAACCTTACAGCGTCCCGCGTGATGAGCGCTCTAGGTGTGAACCTTACAGCGTCCCGCGTGATGAGCGCTCTAGGCGTGAACCTTAACAGCGAGTCGTCTTATTCACAGCTGATAGATAGTAATATTTATCTAAAAATTCTGCTTCGTTCATCATGGTGAGAGCATACACATTATTGAACAAACACAGAAAATTCACTTGCAAACAACTTTTCTCACACGACAGAGCAATACGCATGGTTGAACTATATAAGGTTGACCCACGATAAGTTCCGTCTTTCAGTTCAGCTTTTTTCTTATGTCACTGAGATCGAGAAACGTAAACAAACCCGTCATTCCCATGACGGATTGGTTGACTGGTTTGATCGCATTTCGGTGATTGGTTAATGCTCGTGACGTCACCGAGATCAGTGACGTCACAGGCGAACAACGAACTACATCCGCAAAAATGAGCTTCTGATGGGTCAACCTTATACTAGTTCAACCATGGAGCAATAGTGTGCAAGTGAATTCTTGTCTAGCAAGTGAATTCTGTCACACGACAGAATTCACTTGCTAAGATGCGGTATCTCACCTCGGGCAGCACTTTGGTATGCAAGGTTCCTTTTGACAGCCGGGCTCCCTGAGACGCTGCAGCGTCAGGGCCTCAGGCTCGGAGAGACACACGTAAACCTGAAGACGAGATGCTTTCATGGTCATCGCTTCACTATTAATGGATGCTAAAGAGCCAAAGAGGTGTTCTACAGTAAATAGTTTGAGGAAACTAGATAGAGCAAAAGAAATTAACGTTTATATTTTTTGCGTGGCCAACTGTTTACAGGAGGGCAGTAATATAAAACAAAATTGAACGAAAAGTAGATAGATTCACGTCAAATGTTCACAATCGAAATTAACGAAAAGATTAAAAAAATTAGGAAGCGAAATAAAAATGACCACTTACTAACAAGAAAAAGCCCTCTAGAATAATGAGACTAATTTAATGGAAAGAATCACGAGGGACAAAACATTAACAAATGTGAGTGCTACAAGTTCAAGAAAATTACGTACTGAAAATTTTTTGCTGGAACAAAAAAAAAAAACAGTTAAAAAAGACGTGAAAGACACGAGAACTGTAGAAAGATGGACATGAGATAAAGAAAAATTTGATAATTCTTGTAGAAAAGAAAAAGGAAGGAAAATAAGACTGAAACAAAGGAGCCCAGTAACTAACAGAGGGCAGTAAGGTCTGGTCGGCGTAGAAGTCTTCCAGGCAGTAACTGCGGGGCGGGAGGAACCTCTGCAGGAGGGGCAGCCAGAGGTAGCCGTCAGAGGCCCGCACGTAGAACTGCCCTTCCTTGAGCTGCAGGGCGTCGCCGCGGTCGTCGCCTGAGCATGTCTGAAACATGAAATTTCTCTCATTTATCATATTTTCAAATCTTCAATAACATTATTTGAATCATAAGAAAAATCACATGACCTTTCAGGAGTAAGGATGTTTATATTTATTGGCCAACTCTGACTGAAATACCGTAGTAACAAAGGTACTTGTGTGTACTGAATTTAAAAAAATATCTTGTAGAACGCAATGTATTTTCAACCCGGCCATTTTTTACAATGCAGACATGAATGCATTGATGTGAAAATGTACCGAATATACTTCTACTTTACTCGTACAGCGCTGAAGTATGAAGTTCCGGGCAGTAGCACTCACCTGGAAGTCAGTGACGACCTCGTGCGTGTTGGTGTACTTGGAGCGATGTACTTCGACCATCTCGACACCAGCTGCGTCAGACTCCGTGATGGGAGCGTGCCACACTTCGTGCGTCAAGTTGCTGCGCGGCACGCAACTGAACGCTGAATGTTCGTAGACCTGGTCGCACAAACATCGCTTAGTTACGCTAGTTAAGTTGCTGCGTGGCACGCAGCTGAACGCCGAATGTTCGTAGACCTGGTCGCACAAACGTCGCTTAGTTACGCAAACGCATCACAAAGTGTAAGGAAATGAGGGAATGGCTAGGAGGGAAGAGGTTGAGTAGAGTTGAAATGAGTAATTTCAACATTTTTGGTCGGGTGCGTGAGCGTGAAGGGCTTGGAAACCACCCCTCTTGTTCCGAGTAACGCTCAACTAAAAACGTCACATTAGCACTGTGATGACCCAATTGGGAAGAAATTCAGATTGCAAAATCTTTAATATCACTATATTACCATTCCCTAATGCCGTTAAATATATCAATTTCTAAAATAACAGCGTCGAACACTGTTTAAATCTATGTACTTTTGATCGCACATTTGTTGTGCAATGAAAATGTACTGAGAAAGACGCTGCGACGAATTTTTGGAAATGACAACATCAATATCAACGATCAACGATTTATATTAGCTAAGAGCGAATTAAAGGCGAGTACACAACGATGTGCATAACAGGAAACACACCGAGTTTCACGTATTGTAGCTCAGACCCAACGCAATAATTAAGATTTGTTGAAAATTGCTACAAACTTCGAGAAAACCGCCTAACCATTTGTAAGAGCTGCAATATAATTCTTGAGGTGAAACATTTTTACTGAGAGAATTGTTTAATTGAACTAACTATTGAATTGTAAGCTGAGAAGCATAACTCAGCAACATCTTTATCAGCTGATGCATTGATTGTCAGGAAACGACCCTCAATTTCTTTCGCACACTCCATACTCCTTGTGAACATTACCCTTCCAGTACAACACGGCTACCATACAAGGACTTTCCAGGTCAAACTAAAGGAGCTGCTACTCACCATGTCAACGTGACAGCATTTCCTGATGGGTATTTTATCAGGATCGAAAGTCTGCGGTTCCTCTTCCTGCACAACACACACGGCGCCGCCCATGATGAACGCTGAGCTGCGGTCGCCAGCGTCCTGTACCGAGCGCGTCAATCTCGTCAGTCTAACACATTTATTACTTATGGACTACCAGGGACTTTTTCTGTTCAATTATAAAACAATGATTATATCTGGAGTTTCTTGGTCTACTTGGGACTTTTTTCTGTAGATTATTCATATCGCAAAGTTGCTTAATCAACATCAGCTTGATTGTGTAGTATAATAGTTGTGTAGTATAATAGTTGTGTAGTATAAGTTAGATGGCGGACAGCTGTACCATAAAGAAACTGAAGTCCGCATCGAAATACTCATGCAGCAAAGGTGTACGCAGGAGCTCCTTCGCTTATAACTTAATTGCTTAAAATCAATTATTTTCTTATGAAAAAAGTACTTGTCAAATCTTATACATTCAAGTATTGGTGAAGTCAAGGGTAATCTGCTCAGTGAATACATTTAGAAACATGAAGATATGTTAGCAAATTTTTCACAAGATAACATACAAACAAGCGACCCATTTTAAAGCGGAAAAAACTTCAGACAACATAGCCATTATTAAATTTATTTTAAAGACAAACAGTGGCACCCAAGTGTTTCACTGAAAACTATATTAATTTTGCAAGTAAATACGAACATATTGTACTACATGTATTTTATGCTCTACAGGTATCAATGTATTTTACGAAGTGCTCTGATTTAGTGAGCATAAAAAATTAAAGTTCGAGGAAAAAAAATTCGCAGGCACTTGCTTTTGACATTTTTTCAATTAATTATTATTGCTGTCGTTTATCGCCGTTCAGCTTGATCCACCATGTGCAAGTACCAGCCGTAAAAATGTAAGGATGGGAAATTCAATCTAAGATTTCATTATCAGTCATTTGATCCTTGAACTTATAACATTATTTCCAGATAATAGAACGAACATCCTACAAGCAGTGGTTCTCTAAATCGTACATTGAATCCAAAACCGGCTTCAAATAGCACCAGTGTATGCAATAATCCACGTCACTTGCCCAACGTTTGTGACGCCACTTGACGCCAATAATCCACGTCACTTGCCCAACGTTTGTGACGCCACTTGACGCCAATAAATGACGCCACTTGCCCAACGTTTGTGACGCCACTTGACGCCAATAAACTACGCCACTTGCCCAACGTTTGTGACGCCACTTGACGCCAATAAACCACGCCACTTGCCCAACGTTTGTGACGCCACTTGACGCCAATAAACCACGCCACTTGCCCAACATTTGTGAAGACAGAACTTGAACTAACCTGAACGAAGGTCTCGAGGCAGTAGTGCTGAGGCCGATACTCCATGTTATACTCTGGCACCCACAGCCACCCAGACTCCAGCACCCGGAACTGGAATGACGGCTCCTGGTCCGGGTATACGTCCAGCTGGAACTGCTGGTCGCATTCCAGAAGCCCGGTTTCCACGGCAACCTATGAAATATTAAATTTAATTATCAAGTTATTATTTGTAACTATTAACACTAAAACAGGGCGAATATAGCAGCTGTGCAAAATTGTTAAGATTTTTAAATTAAATTTTTACCAACGCGTTCATTACACGAGCAATATCAGAGTGCAGATGACTTATGAAATAGACGAGAAATATGTTGACAAATTCAGACGAGTTGAAGGCCAGGTCAAACGGATCCGTTGCAAAATATAATGTAGAATGCTTAGGGCTAATACAGCAAAAAATATTACTCAGTACTCACTACAATGAGTGACAGAGAGCGCATTTTCTCGTCGACGAAAACGTGAAGTCACGGACATACGGACATGACGAGCACAATAGCGCCTTTTTTCCATGAATGAGAAAATACGCTAACAACCGAACCAGAAAAGCTACATGTCCAGTAGGTTCATGTTGAAAACATTTCAACACTCCATATTTGATGTCAAGAGACAATCAGAAAGTTTTTATTCGATTTCTGGAGGCCTTTCCAATCGTCGAATCAATTACGGATTGTGGCTACGTGTAAATGTGAGTAACATTTTTGATGCAATTCGCGCAGCAGCAAAGCACGTATTCAATAAATGCAGCATCAAAATGTCTTCTGAAATAAAGACGTTTTACTTGCATTCGATATTGAATAATGTTTTAAGGTTTGATAAATAATGAAGAAAAACGTTTTCAACACATTATTATGAAAAATAAATATAAAAGAAATACAGGCCGCACGCTTTAACAGCTAAAAATCACTACAATTTGGAACGCGCATAAAATGTAGCTATCCGGCAAAGATCAGGATTTTAATATGCTCACTTCGCTATGAATAAACAAAATGGAATGAACAATCGAATTGTCCATTATCTTTTGATTCTAAGAACCCTGATGCTTTTTCGAAAGAGCGACAAACTTCATCGTAATTCGAGGTAACAAATCGCTTAGGTATTGCAACAGCTGGCAGGGTGCCGTTATCGATGCAAATGTTTAATGTAAACATGTCTTGAATATGCATTTAAATTGATATGCAGTATGACTTATATAAACGTAAAACTCATTTTTCATTTTCCTATTTAAAGGTCGACCCCAGTGCTGGAGACGAGTTTTGCAGATGAAGTCAAGCCAGCGCAGTTTCTTAGTGATTAAAGAAAAGTTTAGCGGAGAAAGAATTCGCTACGCGTGCATCAGCAGCCTAAGTATCCGAGGCTGACATTGTAATCGAGACCGTAAAGAGGGCGCACAAGGGCGCATGTCAGCCGCCTGGACCAGGCTCAATGTTACCAAGTTCACGACGAGTAGAGTCGAGTGCAGTCGAGCTATCTGTGCATCTCTGGCATGCCAGTGTCGTGTACATAACTGCAAGGAATTTGTTAAAGCCCTCGACACTCGTACAGACTCTAGCTGCATTGCTAGAGGCCCCTCCATGTTTTACAGTTCAGACCGTCGACCTCTGAGAGGATTTCTTGCTTATGCTGTACTCGAGTTTCTGTATGCGTTAATGTAAATAGATATTTTGGTGTCAGAATTATTTGAGACGATTAAGTTTTCCGCTCGACTTATTATAGCTCGCTTGCAGAAAAAATAGAACATCATAGGCTTCAACACCAGGGAGCTCAATACGTGATGGAGACACTTCCAAGTAACCAAAATAATTATAAGATAATTGATACTCATGCATCATCGTCGTAATTAAAAACATTAAAGAGGAAATGCATTCATGTACGAAGTAGTACGCACTACGCAAACATTAGATATTGTCTGCTGATCAAAATAGCGCATCCGTGCAATAGCGCATCCGTTCTTACAAAGGAGATAAAAGCTTTCAACACTCGTTCCTACTGCGTGTATATTATCAATTCGATTCTTAACACGGAGCAATGCTGCTAGAATAATACAGCATACATTTGATAAGTTTTTACATATCTCTAAATTATACATCACCAAAGCTAATTAAATAATTCAATTCAACAAACCTGGTTCCTTGTTACGTTTGTTTCGACAAAACTGCCGTACTGGTCGAGCGTGAAGATGGGTACGCTGAAGGTCCAGTCGGAGCTGGTGACGCAGCCGGCGTGTTTGTGTGAGAAGACTTGGCCTGTGGGGCAGCACTTGCGCACGACCAGGTGCGAGACTACCACGGGCGCCGGGGTCTCTACGTGGTGCTTGGTCGTGTCGCGGGGGGAGTGAGTGGTAGAGGAAGAGACATGTTCGAACGTCGTTGACTCGATGAGTGAAGGAGACCCAAGTAAGGAGTCATCGCCGTCTATCATCTGGATGGGCGATTGATCAGCATCTGCAGAAAAGTAAAGGTAAATGAAATTTATGATCGAAATAGCCGGGCATAAACGATTTTCTACTGAAGAAGAAACGAATTACCTATTTAGAACGGAAACCTATTTACAAGCAAAGCATAGAAATTAAATGTCCTACTGTAATTTAAAATTATCTATTGACATCAGTGAACCCATCCAACTTGCGAATTCGAGGAAAGACAAATTCTACCCACAAATTACAATGTAGTCGTAAACAGAAAAACAAAAAACAAATTAGAAGAAAATGCGAGAACTTATACTAAATAAAAACATCTTTACTGTTTCCAAAACCATGGATTAGGAACATTCATGGCAATATCAAATCAGATAGTTAAATGAAAAACATGAATACGATAAATACATATAATGGTTAGTATCCACTTCGTATAATAAACAGAGTAAAGATTGTAGGAAAATCTTCGACGACGATGACCTTAGCCATCGGCTCCCCTCTTACATTCGTCAGTCTTTCAGCTATGGGGCCACATGAGATTTGTTTTAGAGGCTGCGATTGACACGCGGATGACAAGGTCAGCGAGGCCCAGCCGCTGCTTAAGTCTTCAGAGAAACTCGACCCTGCGGTGTCAGCCGCTGCGCGCGGACAAAAAACCCGGGATGGCCGAGCAGGAAGTACAATTCTTAGCCGCGGTGGACCAAGATTTGCATCGAATATATCGAGTGTGACAGCATACTTTGTATTTCTTCTGGAGCACTTAAAAGCGCGAGCCTTTCTGTAACGGGTAGTGTCAATAACGGGCAAGGATTTGGAAACGAACGCTGCATTTGCGTGAAAGCCCAGGATTGAAGAATGAAGTTTTGCAAAATATATAAAGGCAGATCATAAAATTGATTAGATCAGCATTCAAATAATTAATTTTTCATACTATCTAATTCTTTTTTATGCTTGAACATTTAGAATTTTAATATTTTAATGCTATTGTATGGGACCGAGAATGGCTTTTGCTTGAAGGACGAAATATTCTACTCTGTGCAGAATCCTATCCTATGCAACATATATTCATGTTTTTTCGCTTAAAATTCATTGCGTTGGATGCATGACATCTGTGAAGAGGTTCTTACAAATAATCGTCTGGAATAGTTTAGAACAAAGTAACTGAATTCATTTAAAAATCATAAAATAAAAGTCAACAGAGTCAGTTAGAGGACAACTACTGTTATGAATGGAGTTAGTTTACAATATGAAGGCTACCACGGCCATTGAAACCAGTAATTTCTTATATCAAAAACTAAAACAAAATCTCCGGTCAGAAAAGTGAGGTGCGTTAATGAAAAATAAATCATTGTCAGAATAACGGGAGGAAAACTTTCCCCATAAAAGAAGGACTAAGGTCACGGAGCGTGAGGCGGCGGCTGAGAGCAATGAAGCATTGTCGAGAATTCGATAATTCTGTCTCACAATGGAGGTCATATTATTCGATGGCTCGAAGCTTGATCGATACAATAGACCGAACAATGAAGAGCAGTTGCGCAATATGTGCCGCACAACCTTGAGCCCGTGAGAATTGATGTCTTGATTTCTTGCGACTGATCAAGCTTCGTCTCGTATAGTACCTACAGCGCGGGCCAAGAGGGGGTACGAGCGACTAGGCAACATCGATGTGCGACTGTGGTTAGGGTGATACGTCATCTAATGGCGTATTGTCTCCCTGTAATGCTTGCGTAAGGTGTCCTGCATGGGAACTGATACTTAGCCTTTGCTCAATTTACACCTAATTCAAATTAAGAACCAGAATTTGAATAAATAATTGATGGCTGAGATTTCTCATGGGTATTGTTTGAATTACCCACGAAAATGTGCATGCATCAATTAAATATAAGTGGGTTCCGTTTTTACAGACAAATGTTTATCGAGGTAGATATACGTGCACAGATGACAATTTAGAATTTAGATGTTCAGTATAGATCTGTTGTTGCCAGCACAAGGCCTCAATTACAGAAAAAATTGCGAGAGACAAGAAGATTCGCACCGTTTCACGCGATGACCTCAACTATGCAAATCTAGCATCAGCAAATGTCAAGAAGAATCAGTCAAAACTACGTGGGCAAAGGATGCATGCCAAGCATTTCAGTTCAACTTAATGTTTCATTGAAGGCTGGGGTGCGAGTTATTTGAACGTGTATGACCATTCAGAGTGAGATTTAAGAATTTATACTTCGCACAAAAATGATTAATTTTCAAATTTTTCATTACAAGTTGGACACCAGCGGCTAACTTTCCCAGATCTCTTACGCCAAAGATACCTAAGTTACACACGCGCAAAAGAAGTTCTTGTTATAACGAATTTTTCTTATAATGGACTGACGTGTAAATTCGAGAACAAAAATTTGCAGACTGTTATTGGTGAATATGAATGGCCCGTTTAAAAGTTTATTGTGCAACCATGACATAACAACAATCAAGCTATCATAAATATCAGTTTGCTTGAGGTTTGATAAAAAAAATCAATGCATTACATTTGTCCAACATTTCGACATCCATGGTGGTTTTTAAAGCAAAATAAATCTTAAGATTTACGACTATCCCGCCATAAGATGTAATAAGCAGGAAATTATTAGCTGCACGGTCGTGAAGCGGTTTCTCCACATCCGAGACCACGTTCCTCCTAAATAAACTGACGACTATCGTTCGATAGCCATCAGACGTGGGTATTTTTATGCTGCTGCGCGAGGCTATTTAAAACTCAAGGACTTTGCTGTTCACCTGGGAGAGTCACACAAATAACAGAGCCTCAAAGATCATTTTGTCAAGGTCAGCCCTAACTTGGCTCGTCGTCGCATCTTCACCGAAATTAGAGATCAGAAAACGAACACAGGAAAAGAAACACATCGTCATCCATTTTCGTTTGGTCGTTTAGTGCACATAAAGCACGTTCAAATCATATGTCATTGCAGCCATTGCGCTATGCGTTCCAGTGCGGAAAAATTGACGAACAACAGACGATCTTAAATGAGGAAAACTATTGTGAAAGAGAATATATTAATTGAAGTTCATAATGGATTCACGCTCATCTGGTCAATAAAATGTCGAGATGAATTAAATTCTCAGCAATTAATTGAAGTTACTGTAGCCTAAATGGAAATGATTTAAAATACGTTTTCTCGGTCAAACACTAAATTTGCAAGCATCAGCTCAAAGAGACTATAAATTAAGGAGTCACAAAGATCGGGGCGAGATCGCCCTTGCACTTGATCGTGGGCAGAGGATGCGATGAATACTTACGATAAACATCCGTAACAACCAAAAGGTTCATCCCAGAGGTCACTATAGAGCCAGACAGTCACGAAAAATTTTAAAAAGCTGCACCTCAACAAAGTCATCTGAATAAATGTGCTGAGTTTTTCAAAGACAATAAAAAATGTGACAGTTTCACGTTGAATGTATTAGAATATTACTCCCATTTTTATCAAGATCTATAGCATACATTTGATAAATTTTTCGATAATTTTTATGTTTAGATGGCGACTACATGGACTGTCATTCATTATTTCACAAAGCATTTGAATTTTTTGGATGCATCAAAATAAATCATTATTAAAGGCTTTATCATAGACCGTTATCAGAGTGTGTAAATTATTAACCGTTATCAAAGTCTGTATTATTAACCGTTATCAAAGTCTGTATTATTAACCGTTATCAAAGTCTGTATTATTAACCGTTATCAAAGTCCGTATTATTAACCGTTATCAAAGTCCGTATTATGAACCGTTATCAAAGTCCGTATTAATAACCGTTATCAACGTCTGTATTATTAACCGTTATCAGAGTCTGCATTATTAACCGTTATCAAAGTCTGTATTATTAACCGTTATCAGAGTCTGTATTATTAATCTTTGTCAAAGGCTGTATTATTAATCGTTGTCAAAGGCTGTATTATTAATCTTTGTCAAAGGCTGTATTATTAATCGTTGTCAAAGGCTGTATTATTAACCGTTATCAAAGTCTGTATCATTAACCGTTATCAAAGTCTGTATTATTAATCGTTGTCAAAGGCCGTATAATTAATCATTACATAATTACTTGCGAGGGCATAGAAAATTTCATTCACCTTCAATTATAGCTAAAAAAACTTATAAAAAAATAAAAACTCAAAACGAAACTAATCATTAAAACGAAAGAAGTTGGGCAATCTGCTCACCGTAAATGCCGCTTCAACTTGAAAGTTCTTATACAATCAAGAATATAATTAAAATGCTTTGAGAGCTTATACAAAATAAATTCGAGTGCATTTGCATAAAACATAATTAAAACTGTGTCAAATCAACCTTTAGACACTCTTCGAAGGTCTCAGTGATTATAACAGAAGTAAATCTTTGTAAGTCACATAGATTTACACGACAACCATTCAATTCTGTGATGCATATATAGGCACTGCCCCGCAAGTGATAATCAAAAAACAATGAAGATCGTCGGATTAAACGGGACCACGCGGGGCCTTTGTACGCCATCAATTCACAGCGCATGAGAAGTCGTGTAGCGTAGACGCTACATCGAGAGCGACAGAAAAGGCTGTCGCAACTCACAAGTCACGAACAGGGCGCTAGATAGACGTCATAAATAATGGGTGACGAATGGTGGAGATGCTGCAGCAACACAGCTGTTCATGAGACCTCTGCAACGTAGCTGCTTGTGGTCGCCTCCGAGACGTTCGCCAGTAACACCAAGGCTGCTCCAACGTAATTACCATCATCCGAGACCAGCTCCGGCATAATTACCTACATTACAACTTCATGGTCAACAAAATAATTAATGACCGCGCACTCAACAGGTCGAGTGCACAAATTACAACCTAGGAAGAAAAATTAAAGGCGAGATAAGAAAGAAAGACAGCGGAGGACTTCAGGACACGTGCTACGAAGGGATCTTGGAAATACGACATGAAATGTTTACTTTCTGTACTTGTAGAAATAAATTGAAATGTTTGAGTTAGAGTGATGTTCATTTACATTACCGTTAATAACA